AAGGAAGCCAAAGCAAACAAAATGGTTGGAACTTAGTGTGAGGTACCCGCATGAAGGACCAGACTTGGGAGAAGTCTGAGTATCCCATGGGTTGATGATGCTTCGGCCATTGGCCTATCAGGGAGTTTCTTTCACCCTCTTGTTATTTATGGTGTGCATTGGGGACAATGCACAATTTTAAGTGTGGGGTGAGGAGATTGTCTGAGTGATTTTCTATGATATTTTAGTTGTGTTTGTTTAACAAAAAAAATATATTGGACTTTTCCTGACAATGGATCTCTTGGACAGCTTTCTAGAGGGATTAAGGTCCAATAATAAGAAGAAAAAAAACAATTCCTTTTTTTTTAGTTAGTCGTAGGTAGATAATAATGCTCCTTGGTTTCTCTTTTGGCATTGGTTCTTTTCCAAGGGATGTAACTTGAACTGGGTAATTTTTATTTTTTTTATTTTTTAGGAAATCGAAGGAAGAAAGCTTGAGTACTCATATGTGCCTTTTGACCTGTTTGATACCATCATACTTATGCCTTAGCATGCAAATTATCTTCCTAACATATTTTGATGGGAATTGATGCCGCGAAAAATTGAATAGCCTGTCTGTATCGCTTTCTCTCACTTAGTTGACTCATTGTTCATGTAGTGCTTTATTGCTTAATACTTTTTGACTTTGTGATTACTAAATTTGAGAGTTGGAATGGAACCGTCCCGACTGGGTTCATGTGCATCGTGTGATGTGAGGTTTTGATCACATTCTGTGCTATCTTGTGTTTGTCTAGAATTTGCCCGGTGTGTTAGTCGAACCGAAATAAGTAAGTTTTTGAGTCTAGGAGATGATGTAGGCGTTTCTTTGATTGTACATTGATCACGCCTAACTCTAGTCCTAAAAAGGATAAGCGGTCGCTGCAAATATAATCCGGACTAAAAAGACCGGAGTCAAATCCCACAGAGAACTAAGGCTTAGCTATATCTGTTTAATATAACTAAAAAGACAAGATTGAATAATTTTCTAAATTATAAAGATTGAGATTTATATTTCTAACTAATTAACTAGCGAATACTACAAAGCGGTAAAATTATCAACAAATGAGACAAAGGGTTGGAGACTAAATTAAGGAGGTCTAGAGTTGTGATTTCCCCAATTGTCGGAATCCTTCTAGCTATGTTCCCTACAATTTTTGCCAATGTATTCTCTACTGATCGTGAGCACTTTAGGTGCCGTAATTCTCTCTCGAGCAACTACAATAATTTACTAGACATATTCTCTCGAACTACGCTAGTTGGCTTTATCTAACCGCTCATTATGACCACGTCAAGGCTTTGTTATTTCTAAACCTACCTTTAAACCCAATATATTGATTTCTCACATACGTTAGGAGTGACGTTGCTCAACAACTACCTAAATATGTACTCTCTCTCAATCAGTACACACTAAATAGGCACAGTCAATTGATGGCCATTCAATCAACAACAACAAACACGTAGTTGAACAAGTAGAGAAATCCAATGGCTCAATTATATAAAAACATAACAAGAATTTATCCTACAAAAGGTTCCATAAAAACCCTAGAAAACGAATTAGCTATTCATAATAGTATGCAAAAATACAATACTAGAATTCATAGCAAATAATGGAAATAGGAAGAAGGAAGTGAAAAACTCGTAGAAGAATTCCTCCGCCTTGCTCCCAGTGTGTTCTTGACTCCTTAGGTCGAATCCCCGGTTTCCTTAGCCTCCTTAGGTCTAAATTATGTCAAAAGTGTGTCCCACCTTCAAAAATACCGTTTTTTCATGTATATATACCAAGTAGGGTCGGTCCCAAACAATTATACCTTCTCCTACGGGAAAAAGGACAATATTTCACGTCTGGACTGCCGCGGTCAACCGCGGTATATGGCAGGTATACTGCCTCAGCCCCGCCTCAGGTCCGCGATCGCGGTTTCGACTGTATTTTTTACCCTGTTAAGTTTGGAATTTGGAAAAACGTAAAACATGAAAGTTGTAGCCCTTTGAGTTAGCTTTCCAACCATATATTGTGAAGCCCAAATGGAGTTCTGAGCAAAAAGTTATGTGCATTTTACTAGACAGTGCGCAATATGCCTACTCGATTCTTCGTTTTGTTGCTCTATCATCCGTTGATCCCCGAATACGATCCCGGCTTAATTACTTGGGATTTTACTCAGACTTCAAAGCTCCAAATCACTTGAATTCATTCTATAACATCTATATAACTCGAAATCACTCCTACAAGGCATAAAACACATCGTTAGTGCAAAACACTAGCGATTAAAGCGCAAACTCAACTAAAGTGCAGTGAATTTGAGTGTAATAATCGAATAAAATACGTAATTATAGCATATCATCATACATTGAGCTATTATGCCACCATAAATAAAATTATTCTTAGATAGCCCATTTGAGCATATAAGTTTTTCTTTGGCACTCACATTACAAGTCGATTCCCATTTTGTTCTTAATTAAATCTTTTTGAACATTTACGTCTGAAAGCACTTAAGTCGCTAGAAGAGTAAGGTGAGGGTAGCTTTTGAGTGGAACCATGAAAAGACCAAAAGGTGCATGTATGTTTTGCTCTCTCTCTCTCTCTCTCTCTCTCTCTCTCTCTCTCTATATATATATATATATATATATATATATATATATATATAGACACACACACACACACATCTAAACATAAGTTAACCTATATTTGCTANACTAATGCTTAGTGTAATGTCAATCTATAAGTTAATTATAACTAATACACTTACTAATTACTATAAGCGACAAAAAAAAGTCTGTCGGTGTATATATATATATATATATATATATATATATAGAGAGAGAGAGAGAGAGAGAGAGAGAAAATACACCTCCTATTCATCGTGATTCGGGATAGTGAATGCATAGTTGTGCTTAAAGAAGAAAGGCCAAGTTGTATATGGTTTCGTGGCATTGCTTGATTTAGTCATGAAAAGTGTGTATTTGAAAGTTAAGTGCCGTGTATTAAAGTGCTTAGGAGGGTTAGTCACTATACCCAAAATATATCCTACACGTTCCTTAGCCTACATTACAACCCGTAAAGACCTAATTGATCTTAGACTTTGCGAGCTTGGATTAGTGAGGATATACACTACGGGCAAGCCTATGGTACAGCTACGGAATGCACATGAATTTCTTTGTGAGTGTGAGTGGTTCTTTATTCATATATGTGATGTCCTTAAATTATATCGAATGCATATTTGAATGTGTGGACGAAATATCCTCTCAATCGTTGGTGAGGCACATGATTCCATGACGGATAGGTGACATTATTAAACATCATGGTCGGGTGAGTGCACGAGTTGAGAGTGCTTATTGGCGATGGGTCGGTCTTTTAGGTTGGGTGGTTATGGGCAGGTTGTTTGAGCATTTTTAATTGGTCATTAATATTCCGGTATGTGAAAGTTGGAAAAGGTATGAATGCGTATGCAAGGGCTTAATTGTTAAGTGTAGTGTGTTGAATTACCATAGGTTCCTCCATTGTATGATTTCTTGCATGCATTGTTTGGTTAGCAAGGTTTTAGGCTCGAGGACAAGCAAGAGCTTAAGTGTGGGGTGGTGATGTTAGGCTAAAAATCCATGTTTTGCATGTAATTTGCTTTGCATTGTACCTCAATCTTGTTAACTTTGGTGTAAATATTTGTGACTCGAGCTTAATAATGGTGTTTATAAGTGTAGGAGTCAATTTGAAGTGATTTGGCAAGCTTGCATGCAAAGTGAGGTAAAAACAGAAGAATTTGAAGGGAGTATGATTTCGGTGCCCAGATTAGCACCAGGCACCAACCAAAACGCCAATGGCAAAATATCACAGAACTGGAAAAATTCGGTGTCCAGGTTGGCGCCAGACGCCAAGCGAGACGGCAAAGGGCGAATTTCATCCTAATTCGGCTAGGACTTGGTAGTTTCGATCCTACACGCCCCCAACATGTATAAAAGGGGTTCTAAACCTATTTCTTAAGGGTTAGGCATTATTGAAGAGACAAGAAGGCTACGGGAACACTTGGAAACAACGAATCACGAGAGTTTTCTGATCCCACTCTTCCTTAATCTGTATTTTAATGCTTTCAATTATTATTATGATTGTTTGTATGGTTATAAGTAGCTAAACTTTCTAATCTAGGGTTTGATGGAACCTATTGGGGGATGATTTTCCACTACGTTTAATATAAATTTGCCTTGATTTTTCTCTACATGTTCAACTATGTTTTCGTTATTGTTGACTGAAGGCCCCTTAATTGACTGTGACTATTTGGTGTGTATTGCTTGGAAAAGGGTACACATTTAGGTAGTTGTTGACCAACATCACTCCTAACGTATATGAGGAATCAATACGGAGGGTTTAAGTTGGGATTAGGAATAACGAAACCTTGGTGCGATCTTAGTGAGCGGTAAACTAGTACCAGCTAGCGTAATTCGGAAGAATACGTCTAGTAAATTGTTGTATTTGCTCGGAAGAGAATTACGACACCTAAAGTGCTCACGATCGGTAGAGAATATCTAGGCAAATTTATATGAGACATGGCGGGGAGGATTCCGACGAGAGGGAAAATCGTAACCCTAGACCCTCCCAATCTTGTCCACAACATTTGCCTTGATAGTATTATAATTACAACTTTTTAATTACCTTGCCTTTAGTTAGTAAACACTCAAAACATTATTTACCATTTCTAAAGGTTTGAGTACTTGAATTCTTGTGAAACTAGTGGTTGTATTTAGTAGATTAATTCCCTGTGGGATTCGACTCCGGACTTGTAAACTAAATTATATTTATAATGACCGCTAGACCTCTTAGCTTGATCACTTCTCCTCTCATCTTCTTAAAAGAAATGTTTAATATTCTTCAAGAATGGCAGTTCTTTCGGACTATACGGAAGAACAATCCATGAAGCCTATAAATAACGAAAAAGAAAATTCTTCTTCAGCACCCAAAGAAGAAGAAAACAAGAAGCTAAAGCCAAACAAGTCAAATGGCCTTGACATGGAGAATTATTTCCCTTCAAGAAGTCACCATCAATGTCCCAGTTCCTCCAGGTACAAAATCAAGATTCTTGGTTGCTGACATCAAGAATACTTCCCTCAAAGTTGGACTAAAGGGCCAACCACTAATCATAGATGGTGAACTTTTCAAGGCAGTGAAAGGTGATGACTATGTGTGCTATTGGAGTTTAGAAGATCAGAATGAAGTTTCAATTCTTTTTACTAAGCAAAACAAATGTGATTGGTGGAAGAGCTTGTTCAAAGGCGGACCAGAGATTGTTTCACATTCGTATGAGAGATTAGAGCTATTGTTGGAGTTTTTGGATTTCTTGGGGCTTTATTGTTTGGTCAATGCTTAAATCAATTACTACTGTTAATATATATATATACTTGTATACATAAAATTCGTTAATTTCAATATTGATTAACAAATACCTTTGTTTGCGTTGCTAGATGAAACGCTAAAAATGAAAATTCAATGTCAAAGGTTCAAACCTTGTATGAAGATCACTATGAAAGAATTAGTAAACAACTGACAGATTTTCTAAAAATTAATGCATTTCAATAGAATTCTGGTGGCATTGCTTTCCAAACCCTAGAAACTGACAGTAATTTATCAGCTCAAGTAATTGTGTACAGAGCAAGGCAAAAAGATTCTTACTAGTACTAAATAAACTTTTCCTAGAATAAAATTAGCAAAATATATATTAAGAAAATAAACAAAATCTCATCCAAGATGAGAAGGAAAAATGGATGCCATCTCTTCTCAACCTGAATCTACAAAGTGTAGTATTGCCCTATCCAGCACGTACCCCTATTTACCTTTTTCTCCAAACCCTCTTCTTACTCCTCATGAAGAGGCAGAGCAAAAGATAAATAAAATAAAATAAAAAGAAAGAAAACATAAATGAAAAAATAAAGAAATTAAAAGAAAAAGGAGGAAAAGAATTTACATCTTACATTGATAAATGGCTAAATAAATGCATGTGCTAAAATATCCAAATCAGACGGTGGACAACTGCAAGCATGAACGTGCCATAAGGTGATATGTGACATTCCTATTTAATTTGCAGCTGTTAGAAATGCCATTGATGAAGCTTTCCCGTTTTCTTCGAGGAAATTATCTAGCACAGGCTGCACAGGTAAAAGCTTTCTGTAAATTTGGCATACAAAAGAGAAGGATTGGTTATAAGCAGTGAAAGCATGACATAGATGAAGGAAATTCCGAGCTGAAGTTTCTGAGACATCTAGATTTAGTGTACACCAAGCATAGAAAAGCTCTTTAGGTTAGTTTAGTTTTTCACTGGGTCGCTCAATTCTTGATCAGCTCACAGGTACTAAAGAAATTGTGCCACAAGTTAAAGAAGCAGAGAACATATCCATTAACAGACCAAACAGTACAGTCACAAATCTTCAGTATCTTGTGGCTCTCAAATGATGAGGCAACTCTCAACCTTCAGCTCATCCATTGGGCTTGAAATTTGTAGATGAACTGTTTAGCACTATTTTCTCATGCCTAACTCTACAGGTTCAGAACTTATCAATTATCATCAAGCACCAACTAATGCTTTGTGGTGCCCAATTATCTCAACTAAAATTCTCTCAGCTCCCACACTTGGGGAAGAAACAATGTACATGACCGTAGGTTTACGCTATAGTTTTCTTATAAGCTGAAGATAATTGGTATACAGAAAAGAGAAGCATAACTGCCAGCTGTCAGGTTAAAGCAGGAATGCTCTTCCAGCATGGTAATCCAAATTGCAAAAAGAACAAAATTTCAGCATTCTCCAAAAATAGGATAAGAAGTTATGGAGGAACCAGCAAAAGATATTTACCGAACACTGGAAGCCTTGCACAATACTTATCAAGAATATTTTTGGCAGAAACTTAGGCTTACTGAGTAGAAGATTTGTCTTTTCTCTTTCAAGAAATTTCGCTTAACTTTGCAATCCACCAATGTTTGTTGTATGCAGATCAGAGATGTCTTTAAGCTCATTGTATATCACTATCTCTTATTGTGTTAACCTATAACATAGGATCTCAAACTAACTAGTATTACTGTCAAAGTGTGTGACCATCTCATCTAAAAGCTTAAGCTGTTACAGAGAACATACTTTTATTTACTTAATTATGTCTTCAACACACCTCCTCACGTGCAGGCTTGATTCTTTTTTATGAGCCAAACACGTAAAAATTCTTTTTGATATTTGGTGGTGGTGAGACTCGAACCCAGAACTCTTCCCGGCTCTGATACCATGTTGAAATGTGTGACCATCTCATCTAAAAGCTTAAGCCGTAAGGGAGAACACACTTTTATTTACTTAATTGTTGAATTATGTCTTCAACAATTATTTATTTCGATAGTGTCCTCTAGGTATTTCACGTCAAAGCAAGCATCTGGATTGCTTAAGTACACTAGATGATATTTCTTCATTGAACTACTTCTCAGGTTTATTTAGTCCATTAATAGACATTTATTAGCAACTTAGTCAGAAATTAACCTAGCATCATTCAGCTGTTTCTTCAAGCATGTCTGACGGCAATTTCTCCATATTTATTTAGGAAATCTAGCCAGTCCAGGGAGTCTCTTTTTGTTTGTGGTTAGGTCAGCCCGAGGTTAACTCCGTGTAATCTCTATCACAGAAGCTCTTTTCAGTGTTTGGCAAGTTGTAGAAGTGCTTAAAACACACCAAAAGCCATAAGCTGGGCAACTCCAACTTACCGCTTTTTGGCTTAAAAGTTGTTTTTGTTTGACCAATGATTTTACCTTTTTTATTCCTTACACTTTTCCATAATTTCCAAAAGAACCCTACATAACGAAAGGCCCCAACTCTACTAGTTTCGTTTCTTCTTCATTCCTCCACAAGTTTTCATCTTTGACTTCCATGGCTATTTCTATGGCATAAACCAGTGGTGTGCGCAACCTATCTTCCCACTGTTTTTGTTTTCTGTGCATCAGTTAGAAAGCAACCATCATATAGAGTATTCTTCTTTTTGTTGATATTCTTGAAACTCTCAAAAATTTAAAGCTTCTATAAGGATCTCATTTTATTTATGGAATTGAAAAAGATAATTGTGCCTAGTTGAGATTTGGTGGAGCTTTTGAAATTACGATCATTCTATGCAATTTCAGATGGTCTTCAAAGGGACAAGGATTCAGGATTGAGTCCCTTTTTTTTGAAAAAAAAAACATCCTCCTTTGTTAGTAGCAAGTTTCACAAATAATTTTTATTATATTTTTCTTGAAAATCTTTTTTTCTTTTTTTTGGGAGTTAGAGACTCTATTTTCTTTTACCAAACAAAAAGCAAACTTGTTAGTAGTAAAGAATAACAAACACTAATTATCAAAAAATAAAATCTAACCACAAACATTTCTAAAAAATTTAGAGAAAATTCTTTTAAAACAATATTTTTAATATTAACAGATTTAAGGACATTTCAGTAATTTTAACAGAAAAAGCGCTTAACGACACTTTTTCGCCAAACGCATCACTGCTTGTTTTCAGATTCAGTATTTTTATCCAAACACGTAACTACATATTCATAAAACCAGCTCCCGCACTTAAAAAGTGTTTTTAAGCCCTTGATGCTTTTATTCAGCTAACCCAAACGGGCCCCAAATTTATACATCACTTGTCCCCACAGGATTGAGAATCAGTACCTCATTATTTGCTTTCAAAAGGAAGAATGGTTCTTTTTCACGCAGCCCATCATTGTCAGCAAGAATTCTCTCCAGATCCTGCAAGTTAAAGAAGAATAGTGGCAATTAAAAGAAGCATCACGTAGAGAAAGTCAGTAAACAAGAAATGAACACAAAATCGAGTCATGTACTGAGGGTTGATACTTGGTACCTAAAGGCTTGGCCCCGTCCCGTTTGGAGAATGACCCCTTATGGCACGGCTTAGTCAGTTATTCTCGCAGTTCAGAAGCGAATGAACTACCAGAGTGCGTTGCTGCGAATGGGCTATATGACCATGACCCTTTCTTAATAAGTAAGAAATTAGAAATTAGTAGCAGATAGAGTGGCCTACACCGAAGGACGGCCAACCGGGGCCTCCACTGCGCCCTTTTGCCAGCGTAGATGAATCTTCTATCCAGATCTGATTTCGACCCATCTTCCAAGACACCTTCAACCAACCATAGAGATCAGGGGTGAGATATTCCATCTCGTCTTTCCGGATCAATAGCCCAAATCCCCATCTTTTCAAAATATGTCTTTTACTTCTTGTCTTCTAGCGAAAATGTCTGATACAAAGCCTTCGAGAGAGGCATATTTCGAATATAGAGGAGTGAAACCAGATCTGATTTCGACCCGTCTTCCAAGACACCTTCAACCGGCCTAACTCCATTCACTGATGAACCCTTAACCTCGGGCAGCTAGACCCCTAAAATGCTCGGTACTTTAAGGTGGGGAAACCAATCCGAGTAGGACCCCTTAATTAAATTCAAGTAGTCCACATCATCCTGCGCTCGAGAAATACGTTGGGCCTTTGGAGAAGCAAGTAATCCATTTCTATCTCTTTCCTCAGGTATTAAGGTTCCTGCCCTTCGTAAAAGGTGGCCGGCCATTCGTCAAGGCCTAGGAATCCGCTGGACATCTCAGCGACGACCTAAAAAGAAAGCGGTTAGGCAACCTTCCATTGCTGCGGCTGGCCCTCCAGCCCTGAAGTAGTTTGTAAGCCCATTTTAACGTGTGGGTGGCCCCAAAGCGGAATTGACCGGTGGTGCTTGGTCGAAGCTCCAGTAGGTAGCTCGATGGTGTGAAAACACTTCCTGCTGTCGAATTCCAAAAACCAGCGAGAGGTTCCCGCGACTTTCCCTTCCTATCGGCTTCGGACCGAAAGAGAGATGGAATCCAGGGAGTTGAAGAGTAAGAAAAGGTCTTCCCCTTAGACCTTTAGACCTGACCAATAGAAGCCACTGGTTCTTGAAAGCTATCAATCCCCGCTTCTCCCTCTCGCCGGATCGATATATCGTACGACGTAATGGAGATCTTGAAACCGGTGAGGAGGGCTTTACGCCTGTCCTTGAAGGTTTCAGTGCCAGTAAGGCGAGCCTAGAGTAGCAGCCTATTACGTTTTTTCAGGGCAGATCTTTTCATCCTCCGCCAACAAGCAGAGCCTTTCGAGTGACTTTTTTCTTTGCTCTTCGACAGCCCTAACAAGTCACTTGAAGCTCTGCGTTGTCGGAATCTCTGGTTCGATCAGGACGAGGAGTCCCATTCATTCGTTGGGGTAGGTAGAGTCCTTCGCTCGTATGCTTGGCATTACTCCTCCGAAAGGCAATTGAAACAAGTCCCTGCACCTCGTGTTCATGATATCTACATTCAACTGTGCCCCGGAGGGCGCCCGACAGCGTCTTGACCCCCATCGCGGATAGGAGTACTCATACTCAAGGACCGGAAGCTCTCACAGCGTCAAGGCAAAGAATAACTCCTATTGGAAGAAGTGGGCGGGATTGGTCATCTTCTAGCTTACTCTGCTAGAACTATTGTGACTTCCATGCTACTAAGCTAATAAGTTTTAGGGGACTGCTAAGAGGTATGCAACTCGTTGGATGGACATTGGGGATTCTGAATCTGACCGCACTTTCCTCAGGTCGAACGGCAATGCCAACAAACACCTTTTCTCCTTAGCCAACCAAAGTCTTCTGATCCCGAATAACTAAATAGCGTCAGTGAGGATGCCCATGCGCAGTCCCAGTAGCTTCTAAAAGCGAAAAGCCTAGAAGACTAGATTGTCAGACTCGGAGGTAGCAGTAAAAACTCTGTCTCCAGAGAAGGCAGTCTGCTAACGCCTTATCTTCCTATTTATAAGTCGACTTCCTTTTTAAAGATCACTCAACGATGTGGCAAATCCCCTTTTTTAAGCCTATCTGATAAAGTGACTCCCGGGTAGAGAAAGTGCTGGCAGAAAGGAGCTCTCAGAACCTGCGGGGGTACCCCTTGTCTCCCGCTCAAAGCTTCTCGTATACTCGGCAAAAAAGGAATCGAATATCATTAAGAATATCTTAACATTTTTTATTTCTCTTTAGTTTCTTTCTTAAGTAGCTTATTAGCTTGAAAGAAGGTTCTCCCCTTAGGACCGACTACAACAAGCTCGCGATTCTCTAATAGATGGTCAGAACTTCATCTGGGTTCGAATCCTACTGAGAGGTCCACAAATGCTTTATTCGATCACTTTTCGCTAGCCTTAGTGAGTGATGAGATAACGTATGATCCGTGCGCTTACCTAGATGCGGTGCTTGTCCCTCGAAGCTGGGTCAGCTAGACCTAAGTAAGTAGGCATCGAAGGAGGATTGTAGAGTCCAAATAGCGTATTTCCGGTTAGGGGCCTAAGACTCACTATAGCAATCTGGGGCCGGAATACCTGGACCTCGGGTTAGAAGGCAGATTCCGCTCTTGGGTTCATAACCGGTCCTATTGAATTAGTTGCACATGAGTACGGTCTTCTCGTTTCTTTCTATCTGACAGGACAAACAAAGAAATAGGAAGGGATGAGTTTTCCACGAGACGATCTTTATTTGAAATATGAGCCGCCCATCTAACAAAAAAATATTCATATATTCTCGCTCATCCACGGGTTTTTCCCAAGCCAAAACCTACTCCTAACAAGTTGCTGGATCGAAGTAGTACATTATACATCTGCCCGCCAACAGCGGAGGGGTTCGATTCCCGTTATACGCGATGTGGCGAAAAAGACTGATTCAACGAGATATGCCTGCTTGTCGAGAGGGTGATTTCATACCTTACTACTCCCCTCCGTCACCCTTCCATCTCCCCGGAAAGCGCCTTCGTTCCGCATCAAAACAACTCATCTCAGAATATATTGTAAAAGACCCTTGGGATAATCCTACCCTAGTTGATATTGGGAAAAAAATCATATGAAGAAAGTATACAGGGAGAAAACACGAATTATGAATAATGTATGAAGATATGTTTAGGACTTGAGGGTTGGTAAATGTCATAGTGAAAGGGCAATGTATTAATCCTACTCTCCAATAGCCACTGAAAATGGACGAAAGCTAGTACTCCTGTTAAACAATTGAGGCAAACTTGAAATATAGATATTTCCCAAGAATTTTTACACAATACTGAATTTCAATGGGGAAAGTCACAATTTTCAATGTGCTGCTTACTTGACCAGAGCTTATAATTCATTATATATTTTAATATTGTTGCCTCTTTCTGGTAACCATTCCAATGGAACCACTTCTTTGTGTGATGGTCGTAAGACGTTATTCTTCTGACGACTTCTCCAGGATTTTTTTGTGTTGATGCTCCGGAAACATTCTCGTTACAATTTACACACCAATTAAACTACACTAATTATATTACCGTACCACTTTTTGGTGTCTCAGATTAATTCCCTTCTGTGTGTGCTACAAGAAACATTTTCTTTAACTATGCAATTACCAGCAATTTTTGAGGGGTAAAACATCAGCACCATTTTTCTTCCTGTAATTGCTCACTATTTCGTGAAACAATTTGGGCGACTCGCCAACAATTTGAAGGGGCATAGTTAAAGTTAAGAGAATCAGTGAAAAATTGTATATTTGTATAGAATCGTTTTAGTGATTTTAACAGAATAATTTGGAATTCCAAATCAAAGCTCCTAGCTGAGGAGCGGGAGCCTCCTTGTATGTTGATAACTACCAGTGCAATGAGATATTTGTCTTCTCTTCTTCTATTTCTACAGCTTTATCCAGGAATTATATGTTTAGGAATTTAAGCAGGTCTGGTTTTATTTAATCACTGAGGACTCACTTAGATTTTGTGATTTGCAAAGGGCAAAGCAAGATCACAAGAATTACAGAAAACCTTGTTCATGCAAAATAGAATGCCAAAGTGCTATCCCAACCAAAAACCTCAAACTATTAAGACCCAGAGGCACCATGAAGAACTAAGTTAAAAAAAGGACGAATTTCAGATAATTTTATTTTAATTTAGTTTTTGCAAAAATTTCAAACACATACTTCTGCATCAACTTACCTTTCTTGTCAAGATTTCATACTTGAGCAGGTCCTCTACAATCTTCTCTAGCACTTCTCGATTTCTCTGTAGCATTTGTTTTGCTTTATCATAAGCCATATAGTATATCTGCGCCAAAAAATCAAGGCAGACAATTATTGAATTAAGGAGCTTGTTATTGAACAAGGTATGGGAAAATAGTTGATGTCTTATTCCATGAAGTAATCAGTATATATACATGTACAGAATCCTAACTATAGAAAGAATCAAAAAAGGAAAATCCTACAGATATGCTATCAAATCCCTTAGTTATGCTATCATGTATATAACAACGAATATGACTACATTCATTCTTTAACACTCCCCCTCAAGCTAGAGCATAGATATTGATCATGCCCAGCTTGTTACAAAGGTAATCAACTCGAGTTCCACTCAATGCCTTGGTGAACAAATCAGCTAGTTGCTCTCCCGTCTTCACATAGCCAGTGGAAATCAAATTTTCTTGAATCTTCTCACGAATGAAATGACAGTCAACCTCAAGACGTTTAGTTCCGTTATGATACACCGGATTTGAGGCAATACGAAGAGCATCTTGATTATCACACCTGAATTTTGTTGGTGTATAATAGTTCAACCCAATTTCAGTTAAAAGGTGATGTATCCACATAATCTCGGACGTAAACTGTGACATATATCTATGCTCAGATTCTGCACTGGATCGAGATACACCATTTTGCTTCTTACTCCTCCATGATATCAGATTCCCGCCAACAAAAACACAATATCCTGTAGTAGATCTTCTATCAATTTTCGATCCAACCCAATCAGCATCAGTAAAACACTCAACACAAGTATGGCCGTGATTGCTATAAAATATGCCAAGTCCATGAGCTCCTTTCAAGTAACATAGAATATGATCCAAAGCTTCCCAATGTGTGATCGTAGGCACGGACATGAACTAGCTAACAACACTCACCGCAAAAGAAATATCTGGACAAGTCACCGTGAGGTAGTTTAACTTTCCAACTAACCTCCTATATCTCTCTGGATCATTAAAAGGATCACCATCATCTTTCATTAGATGCACATTGGGAACCATTGGAGTACTGCACGGTTTGCCTGTCAACTTTCTAGTTTCTGAAAGTAGGTCAAGAATATACTTTCTTTGAGACAAAAAAATTCCCTTCTTTCTTCTATTTACTTCTACTCCTAAAAAGTATTTCAACTGGCCCAAATCCTTTGTACGGAACCTAGCATGCAGGACAAACTTAACGGAAGAGATTCCCGCATAATCACTTCCTGTGATGACAATGTCATCAACATATACAACGAGGCTGGTAGACGACTGAATGATCACATTTGCTCATTTCCAGCCTAACTCCTGAATTGCCTCACTGAACCTGCCAAACCAAGCCCAGGGACTCTACTTCAAGCCATATAAGGACTTCTTTAAATGACAGACTTTCCCACACACCCCCTGAGCAACAAAACCTGGTGGCTGCTCCATATACACTTCCTCTTGAAGATCACCATGAAGGAATGCATTATTGATATCCAACTGATATAAAGGCCAATTCTGAGAAGTGACTAAAGAAATAAACAAGGAGACAAAAGTGAGTTTGGCAACTGGGAGAAAGTGTCTGAATAATCCACCCCATAAGTCTGAGCATACCCTTTAGCCACAAGTCTGGCCTCAAGTCTTGGCACGGAACCATCTGGATTCTTTAACTATAAAGACCCACTAACATCCCACCGGTTTCTTTCCCTTGGGTAAATTCACCAAATCCCACGTGTGGTTATCCTCTAAGGCATGTATTTCCTCAAGCATTGCATCGACCATCCAGGATGATTCAAAGCCTCATTCAGTGTTTTGGGTATAGAGACGGAGTCTAAAGAAGCAATCACAGATCTAGACGTAGAGGATAAGCGGTCATAGTAAATAAAATTAGCAATGAAATATGTGGATTTGCAATTTCGTGTACCTTTGCAAAGAGCAATAGGAAGGTCAACGTTCTCTGAAGGTTCAGGCGAAGGAGGATCTGATGATGAAGGAACTGGTGCAGGACATGTATTATTGGTCTCGCCTACTCGAGTAAACTTGAACAATTGACGATCTTGCTAATGCAGACGGAGTAGGTGGTGACCGTATAATAGTCGATTGATGCTCAATAGAAGAACTAAGTGATGGAGGAACATCATCTAATTGTTGTGTCAAAGCATGGGTAACCTGATAGACTAGCCATTCATCTTCCTCCCTTGACTTGTACAAATTGGAGGTGCATAGAGCAATGGTGTAGTCTCTGAAAATACCACATCTGTTGACACCAGATACTTGCCAAGTTCAGTAGAATAACACAAATATCCCTTCTGAAGGCGAGAATAGCCCAAGAAGACACATTTCAATGCCTTCGGATCCAATTTGGTAACAAATGGTCTAACATCTCGAACATAACATGTGCTTCCAAATAACATAGGTTCCGCTGGAAATAGTGACTTATTTAGAAAAAGAACATTGTAAGGCATATTACCAACAAGCACCGTAGATGGCATGTGATTAATCAGAAGACGAGCAATAGAGAACAAATCGGCCCAAAACCGTTTAGAGACCTTCATTTGAAACATAAGTGCCTGAGCTGTCTCAAATAGATGCCTATTCTTCCTCTCAGCATCTCCATTTTAAGACTGTGCATCAACACATGTAGACTGATGGAGAATACCATGTTGTCTCATGTAGGACTGAAATAGTTTTGACATGTATTCTTTAGCGTTATCACTCTGTAGAATCCGTACCGAAGCATTAAATTGAGTTGACTTCAGCAGAAAAGGCAAAAAAATGAGTAAACACTTCAGAGCGGCTCTTCATAAAATAAATGCAAGTCATTCGAGAGAAATCATTCACAAAGGTAACAAAATACTTATGCCCAGTTTTGGAAATAACGGGACTTGGTCCTCAAACATCAGAATGAACTAACTAAAAGCTGACTCAACCCGCTTATTAACCCTTGGACCTACCGAGCTACGATGGTGCTTTCCCCTGATTTCATATTTTGGTGAAAGAACTCCTTTGATTCATCGAAAATGTCGCTTGGATCAGATGCTTTTGGTTCTAAAACTATGGTATCCAGTAATTCAAACCAAGTAATTACAACAGAAACATTAGTACGTAGTGCAACATGCCTCTCTTGATCCTCATTTGTTCAGTTATAGTGCAAAAGACAAGGCATTCAAGATCACCTAATTAAACAAGCTATGTGTATTGAAGAGAAAGTTCGAGCAGAATGAGAAATGATCGATGCTCAATTGTCTAGCCTCTTATGGAACACTATTGATTCTAAAATGATGCCTTTGTTTCATCCATCCTAGACCTGCTTTTTAGTTTGGGAAAAGGCTCATGCCCTATACACAAATGACATCTCTTGCTTTTATAATGTGATTTCTAGTTGACTAAACCATCGAACCCCTTCCTTCTTTCTTTCTAATATAAATGACACAAAATAACCATTCTCTAACTACTAGGGACAGTAATGTAAATAAATAAACATAGTAATTACTCCCTCCTTTTCAATTTATGTGTCTTACTTTTCTTTTTCGTGTGTTTCAAAAAGAATGTCTCTTACTATATTTAGTAACTCTTTAACTCCAACTTTCTACGTGACATTATTAATACCACAAGATTCAAGGATATTTTGGTACATTATACACATCTTTAGTTTAAGACCACAAGGTTTAAAAGTATTCTTACTTCTTTAAACTTCGTGCCTAGTTAAACTAAGACACATAAATTGAAACGAAAGGAGTAACAAATAAACACAATTACATTTAGGCTATATTTCATCCTTGCCTCTATGGTTGTACACCCTGGTAGCTTGAGCATGTCTAATAAACCAAGTAATACTCCAATATATTCAACTACTCGAAGATTAGAGATCCACGAAATACCATGACAATTTCTTAGTGGTAATCAAGTTGCACTGCATATTTGCGACAAATGCTATATAAAGATGTTTTTAGAGAACCAAACATATCAAAAGCAACTGTCATTTTGGTAGAGAAAAGAAAACATTGGCCCTAGATTTATAAAACAAATGACCAACAATAACAACTATGCCTCAATCCCAAACAAGTTAGGGTTGGCCATATGGATCCCCAAATATCATGTATCTCCATTTAAATTCATCTTAGGCCAACACTACACAAAATAAAATTGTAAAACCAAAAACCCAACTGGCTAAACCAAATGATCAACTGACAAAAATATTCAACAAGTCACTTATAAGCCACTGGATTAGCTGCATAAGCAACAAGCCTGATGCATATAACACGCATGCAACCAACCAAGGAAGAGTGTTATGGGTGTACTTGGTTAAACTTCTACCTAGATAAACGTGCAAATACAATAGTGTGATATGAGTGTCCTATATATACATTTATCCAAATACCTGAACTTAACCTTTGTTTTCACACATTCTCCCAATCTTTTCTCTTATTTCTTATCAAAGATGTTAAACCCTTCTGATAATAAGCCCAAGCACACACTATGACTACTACATGTAGAGTTTAGCTGAAGTCAAGCCAGATGGTGGGAGCTGTAAGAAGAGGCCAAAAAGATAGTTCTTACTGACTCTGGATATTTGGATTTATTACAAAGATTAAGTACCATTTCTGGCCCACAGTTCCATTGAAGCAAGAAAAATTTGCACATAGAATTCTCAGATAACAAGAAAATAATGTTTCATATCATCAGTCGAAACGACCAGGGAGAATACTCAATAGGTAGCTTTATACCTTTTCCACTTTTGCAGCCATCTCATATTCAAAATGGTTTCCCATACTCAAAGCTGTGACCTATTCAGAGCAGCAACACGAAAAAGAACACAATGAGACAAAAATATATCAATGAAAAAAGAGCAAATTAGTCACGCACCAAGATATACAGCGTTAATCAGTTACTTATGTTTGACAAATATTTTAACATGCACACATATATATACATTTGGGCTCCCATTTCCATGTGCAAATCTTTTTGGCAAGATATTTTCGTGGCAGAGATGTGGTTCACCCATTAGCGTCGAGGTGAATTATCTTCTGGTTTGGTTCCACCGCTAACTGTTTGCAGCCAAGGTCATCATAGCAAACAAAGTGAAGTGGCTCACAAGCTAACTTGTAACATTTCATTAATATGTTAGGGGTCGTTTGATATGAGGTATAAGAAGGTATAAGGGTGGTATAAAAATTTAATACCACCTTAATACTTTGTTTGGTTAGTAAACCAGGTATAAGTTATCCCGGTGTTAATTTTAACATTGGGATAACTTATACCTTATAAAAGGTGGGGTAATTAACACCGGTATAACTTATACCTTCTTCTTAGAAATTATGCAATTGTCATTCTTAATACAACATACCAAACAATGAATAAACAACAATCCCAGCATAACTTATCCCAATATAACTTATACCGGCATAACTTATACCAGTGTAAACATATTCCAACCAAACGACCCCTTAATGTCTTAGGAAAGAGAAATGGTTCATGAAAACTATGGGATATCAAACTTTAGTGAAGATACAAAGGGGAAAAATCTTTGAATGAAATAACAGATCATGCAGTCAAGAATAAGATGGGGAAAATAAAGGTAAATACCGAATTGCCATGATGGTAAATCGTAGGACTATCATCGGGGCCCCAACCATATTGAATCACCATCCTTGTAGCTATCTGTCAGAAAATACTATGAATTATTAGGTCCCAGTATCCGCAGCAGAGTATATGAGAGAATTACAGTTCAGGAGGGCAAGAAGAGAATTTTACAACCTCTTGTGCCTGCTTCAGCTCTGATGAAGAAAGAATGTTTTCTTCCCCAAATGGAAGCAATAGCTGCGCCGCAACATAAGAACCAAAGCAAAAAACTAGTCTTTTTTCAAGATATGATCTTGATTCAACATTCCCACTGATAGAACCTTCATTTTTAGCTTTGGTGATCTTAGTACACCCAATTCCCTGAAATCAGCAGGCCCAAACTTTGTAAAAGTCAACATCTTCGGGACAGACCAAACACACATCCAATGAGGCAATCTTTCATGGGTTTAGGTAGGAACATTAGTTGTAAGCACACCTCTATGTGTCACTATGTGAAATCACCAAAAGGTATAGGGGAAAAATACATAAGGAGTTAATGGGAGTGTCAGCGTACAACTCACCCAACCTTATGGAAGACTGATCAAACCACAGGGGCAGCAAAGGAGATTTGTTACTTGAAAAAGCAGGGAGGATAATGCGGATAGATAAACCCCCAAAGAGGGTTTCAGTACTAAATATGCTCCACTCTTACAAGGGTAAAAAGAAATTACATAAGCATTACAACAACAACAACAACAACAATAACAACACCTCTGTCCCAAACAAAGTCGGGGTTCCTTCAAGCTCAACTCATATCATCATCATGCCAAAATAAAATAATAATAGTGAAAATAAGTTTTATATAAAAGAAAAATAGTAACATTTAAAGCATATCCCTAAGACCCTAACTAGTAAGTTTCACCTATATGGATCGCTATCTTCCATTATGCCTATTTTTAGCTAAGTCTACACTGGTTCCAAGAATTTGTAGGTCTAAACAACTTCTTTCCATGTAATTATAGGTCTACCTTGTCATGTGGTCCATATCTGCATCAGTGTCAACCTCACCTAATGTGTTTGTGGAAGAGAGACAGATCTTGGATGCAGCTTTGATGGCAAATGAAGTTGTGGACTCTAGAAGGAAAAAAGGAAAACTTGAGAAGGCTTTTGATCATGCTAATTGGGAGTTTCTGGATCTTTTAATGGTGATGATGGGATTCAGTGAAAGATGGAGAAGATGAATCAAGGTTTGCATTTCCACTGTCAGATTCTCTGTTCTTGTCAATGGTAGCCTGTGTGGTTTTTTTGGTAGCTCGAGGGGCCTCAGACAAGGGAACCCCTTATCCTTTATGCTATTTATTCTGGAAGCTCTGAGCAAGATAACGAATAGGGCAGCGAGTGGTGGTTATTTGAGGGGTTTCACGGCTTTGATTAGGGAGCATAGTACTGTAAGGGTTTCAAACTTGCTCTTTGCAGATGACACATTGGCTATTTTTTTGTGATGCAGATAATAACCGGCTGACATACTTGAAACAAGTTCCTAAGTGGTTTCAGATCGTGCCAGGTCTCAAAATCAACATCAGCAAGTGTGAGATTTTCCTAGTAGGCGAGGTAGACAACATTGAAGAACTAGCACAAGTATCAATGATAAGGTGGACTCTTATTTACCTACTGGGCTACTACATACTTGGACTTGCCTCTGTGTGCTTCAAATAAGGATCTCGCAGTGGAATCCTGTTATTGAAAGGGTTGAACGGAGATTAGCAGGGGCGAAACGATACTTGTTGAAGGAAAAGATGTACTCACTAAAAGCAATTTATCAAGTATTCCCACTTACTAATGTTCTTTGTTGCAAGCACCAGTGAGAGTCACAGGAAAAATGGGAAGGCTTCAAATAAATTTTATATGGGATGCGACAGATGGCACCGGAAACCGAAAAGATCCACCTGCTAAATTGGGAGGTTGTTACAACACCAAAGTGGGGTGGACTAGAGTGAAAGATCTTAGGGTGTTCAATAGAGCTCTATCGGAAAAGTGATCATGGAGATTTGGGATGGAGGAGTTCGCCTTATGGAGGGAGGTAGTAGTTGAGAAGTATAGTTTTATGGAAGGGGATGGAGAACTAGAACTATTACAGTTCCATTTGGGTGTAGCATGTGGAGGAGCATAATGAAGGTGTTAGTTTCATTGTATAAATAGTAGTAAATAACCCTAATCCCATATGTATTAGGGGTAGGACATGTATTGCATATATATGGCTCATTGTAGCACTGTCAATTAATCAATAATATTTTCTCCCGTGCATTCTCACATGGTATCAGAGCATTGCTGAGATAATTATCGTTGTGCGTCATTCCAACGACATCCGGGAAGAAATCAGTCGTCACCGTGCAATTTTCCGGTGACCTACGTGACTGTTTACATCAAAGTCATTATTTATCAGTGTTGTGAACAAACCAACACCACCACAAGGTCCTCCGTAGCCCCGCGACCAAATCCCAGCAAAACCCGCCGGAAAAATCACTGCCACGCGCCCTCACGCGCCGGGCAGAGAAAAAAATTTCCGGCGAGATCTGTGCACGCGCCGGGCGCGTGAGACACCTTCCAGCCATTTTCCGACGAACTTACTTCAGGAAAGGTCACTCGCACCTCAATTTCGAGTCGACCAGTGCTATCCCTAACAAATTCCGACAACTTTGGAATTTTCCGGCGAGCTACAGTGTTTCCGGCCAGATTTTGGAGAAAGTTTCTTTTGAACAGTATAATCGTCTTGCTTTTCCGAGCCTACCCATCAAGTTTACATCAGATTCTGACGACTTTTTTATTTTCCGGTGAACTACAGTGTTTCCAGTGAACTGTAACAGTCAAACAGTGATTTCCAAACAATTTTATGACCTTTTCGGGCGTGAACATTATAATGTCATTCTTAGACTCACAATTCGTTGGATCGAATGCATTAAATCCAATCCAGATGGTTTCTTTACCGGATTATATTGAGTTCCTTCAGTACAAAGCACGTAAACAGACATCTTCAGGATTAGCCTCCGTTGTTCCAACAAATAGTAGCATCAATTGTGTCTCCCAATCTTCACCTTCTGAGTCTTGGGTTATTGATTCAGGTGCATCTGATCATATTTCTGGTAACAAATCTCTTTTCTCTAGTATCTCATATTCTCAATCTCTTCCAACAGTCACAATGGCCAATGGGTCTCAAGCCATGGCAACTGCAATAGGTCAAGCAAATCCACTTCCTTCCTTACCTTTAGACTCCGTTCTTTATGTTCCTGGTAGTCCTTTTAATCTCATAGCCGTTAGTCGCTTAGCCAAATCACTTAAATCTGCTGTTTTATTTCTTGATGACCTTATTTTTATACAGGAACGCAGTACAGGGCAGATCATTGGTACCGGACGTGAATCAGATGGACTTTATTACCTTATCCTTGCAAAATCACATGGACTCGCATCTTGTCTTCCTCCAATAACTTCTCCCGTTACTGATTCACCAGATTTATTACATAAACGGTTAGGACATCCCAGTTTGTCAAAACTTCAGAAAATGGTACCTGGCTTATCTCACTTGTCCACTCTAGAGTGTGAGTCGTGTCAGCTCGGTAAGCATACTCGCTCCCATTTCCCGCGGCGTCTTGATAATCGAGCAGAGTCACCTTTTTCTTTAGTACATTCAGATGTTTGGGGTCCTAGTCGGGTTAGTTCTACCTTAGGATTCCGCTACTTTGTCAGTTTCATTGATGATTATTCCAGGTGCACTTGGATATTTTTGATGAAAAATCGATCTGAGTTGTTTTCTATTTTCCAGACCATCCACGCTGAAATTCAAAATCAATTTGGGGTTTCTATCCGTACATTTCGTAGTTATAATGCCCTAGAGTATTTGTCTTCCCTATTTCAGCAGTTTATGAACTCCCATGGGATTATTCATCAAACATCTTGTCCGTATACATCCCAACAAAATGGGGTAGCTGAAAGAAATAATAGACATCTTATTGAAACTGCTCGTACCCTACTCATACAATCTCATGTTCCGCTGCGTTTTTGGGGGGATGCAGTTCTTACATCTTGTTATCTTATTAATCGTATGCCATCTTCAGCTATCCAAAATCAAGTTCCATTCTCTGTCCTGTTTCCCCACTTACCTATGTTCTCTCTTCCACCCCGTGTCTTCGTGAAAATACGTGCTTTGTTCATGACCTTACTACAGGAAAAGTTAAGTTAGCTCCTCGTGCTCGTAAGTGCATATTTCTGGGTTACTCAAGAACGCAAAAGGGATATCGATGTTATTCTCCTGACCTTCAGCGATTTCTTATGTCTGCTGATGTTACCTTCTTTGAAACCCAATCATACTTCACACGTCCAGTTAATCACTTAGATATTTCTGAGGTGCTACCCGTTCCTTCTTTTGGAGATTCAGTCCCTATCTCCCATTCATCTTCCTCCCTAGCTCCACCGCCTACAGTTCCAGTTTCAGCTCCACCACCTACAGCTCCAGTGTCACCACCGAGTCCAGTGCCACCACCTAGTCCAGTTCCACCAACCATAGCTCCAGTGCCACCACCTAGTCCAGCTCAAACTTCTACAGCTCCACCACTCCTGACTTATCATCGTCGTCCGCCCCCAGCATCAAGCCCAGCTGATTCACGTCCTGCACCTGACCCTGCTAATACTGCGGACTTGTCTCCACTTAATCAATCGATTGCACTACGAAAAGGTATACGTTCCACACTTAATCATAATCCTCATTATATCGGTTTAAGTTACCATCGTCTCTCATCATCCCATGTTGCATTTGTGTCATCTTTGTCCTCTGTTTCCATTCCTAAGTCTACAGGTGAAGCACTGTCTCATCCCGGATGGCGACAGGCTATGATTGACGAGATGTCTGCTTTACATACGAGTGGTACTTTGGAGCTTGTTCCTCTTCCTTCGGGTAAATCGACTGTTGGTTGTCATTGGGTGTATGCAGTCAAAGTTGGTCCAGATGGCCAGGTTGATCGACTTAAGGCTCGTCTTGTTCCAAAGGATATACTAAGATATTTGGACTCGATTACAGTGATACTTTCTCTCCCGTGGCTAAAGTTGCATCAGTCCGCCTTTTTCTATCCATGGCTGATGTTCGCCATTGGCCTCTCTATCAGTTGGACATTAAGAATGCTTTTCTTCACGGTGATCTTGAGGATGAGGTTTATATGGAGCAACCACCTGGTTTTGTTGCTCAGAGGGAGTCTAGTGGCCTTGTATGTCGGTTGCGCCGGTCCCTCTATGGTCTAAAGCAGTCTCCTCGAGCCTGGTTTGGTAAGTTCAGCACGGTTATTCAGGAGTTTGGCATGACTCGTAGTGAAGCTCATCACTCTGTATTTTATCGA